AGATATGTTATTAAAGATAACACATTATAACAGAGTAAAGATTTAGGCTTGTTCTGACAGCTATGCAAATGCAACTTAATATAAAGAATACTAAATTAAATACTTGGTGGCAAAAAACATTTATAAATATTTTAACCAAACAAACATTTTATCTGAAAGAATTAGTTCACCCAAAAATGAACATTTCCTGAAAATTGTCTCGTCCTTATAGGCTGTCTAAGATGTAGATGAGTTTGTCTCTTCATTGGAATAGATTTGGAGGAATTTAGCATTATAGCAGCTCACCAGTGGATCCTCTGCAGTGAATGAATGCCATCAGAATGAGAGTTTAAACAGCTGACTAAAACGTCACAATAATCCACAACTAATCCACACAACTCCATCAATTAATGTCTTATGTAGTGAAAAGCTGCATGTTTGTAAAAACAAATCCATTGTTACGGCATTTTAACTTTAAACCGTAATAAACCACAAATCCATAAACCATGAAAACACTTCATAGTGAAAAACTTAGTCCCCTGTTGTCCTCTCACATCAAACTGATATAGTTTACAACTGTCTTTGCTTGTAAATGGTTGTTGATCTGTGAGCGTTTCTCTCCTATCAAGCTAGACAATTTTTAGTAGCGAAAGCAATATGGAGGACTTGTATTTTAGCTGGAAACAACAGTTTGAAGTTCAATAGTGGATTTATTACTAACTCACTTTTTTTTCTTCACTGAAGTCATTTGGATTACTTGTGGATTATTGTGATGTTTGGACTCTCAGTCTGACGGCACCCATTCACTTTTGAAGATCCATTTGTGAGCATGTGATCTAATGCTAAATATCTCCAAATCTGTTCTGATGAAGAAACAAACTCATCATCTTGGGTGGCCTGAGGGTTATTACATTTTCAGCAAATTTTCATTTTTGGGTGAACTATTCCTTGCAGTATTGTCAGCTCAGTCTGACGGGGTAATCAGTTGTACAATATCATTTCACATCCTGTTCCTGCCTTGCACATGTAAGGTCCACGCACTTGGCCCAAGGAAGGTATCCAGTGGTGGCTGGTTATTCAATTTAAGTTCAATTCTAATCTGACTCCATTTTATTATCTAATCTGACTCGATTTTATTATGACCTCGCATTTGAGTTAGAATGTCAATTATGATTGATCATTTATAGGATAATTTATCTAGACATCTGATTATTCTATTTATTATTTAATATTATTGTACTCGTTCATTCGGGTGCTCATGTCGCTCAAAGATATCGCTTCGGCCGTTAGCGTATCTTACGATCACATTCTCGTCAGTCTTGGTTATATGACAGAGGTAATTGTCTAATACTTTAGACGGCTGCTCCTATGCTTGCTCATTCTAAAAGTACTTTTAATTAGCCCCCATAGATTTGTACACACTTGAATAAAGCAACATTATTTCTAGTCAGAGGTCACGACCACTACTATAGATATAAGCTGACCAACATTACTTTCCCTGATAGTAGCTTTGGTATGGTCATGCCATGGTTTCCCCATGTACACTTTGCTAATATAATATTACAATAAACGGTTAGGCTCACCCTATTTAGGCTGGTCGAAGAACATCCAGTTGACCTAAATGGAAATTCCCTATACGCCCTTACAATCTAAGTACACTTGAACTAATACCAAGTGTTAGCTGGATCTCTAAAGATACAGTTGGTGTGCCCTATGCTCCATTCAACTGAATTTTAGTCCGTTACTAACCTGACGCAGGAAATGCGGTAACAAAGATACAACGTAGTCACAGTTGATCTTCCTGAGTCGAGTCTAGTCACAGTTGATCGTCATGAACCAAGTCAAGTCACAGTTGTTCTTCAGGAGTCAAGTCAGGTCACAACAGATCTTCATGAGTCAGGTCTAGTCACAGTTGATCTCGCTGAGTCAAGTCTGGTCACAGTTGATCATCATGAGACAACTCAAGTCACAGCTTCCATTGCTGAGTCAAGTCAAGTCTCAGCTGATCTGCCAGAGCCTCGTCACGTCTCAGCTGATCTCCCAGAGTCTCGTAACGTCTCAGCTGTTTGTCCCGAGTCACGTCACATCACTGGTATCCAGTGTGAGGGATGCACCGCTGGTGTCTGCACGCACAGCTGGTATCCCCAAACCCACTCACTCTAACCCTTCTGTTCATGGACTCATTCCCGTCTGCAGCACTTCCCATATGGGGTGTTGCTTATTGTGTATCTGGGCCGCGTACTCCACCGCCGATTTGCTAGAGGCAGCGGCACCGGCTACAACATCTCCAGAGGTGGCGGCTTACGCTGCAGAACCTCCCGAGGTAGCGGGAGGGCTTACAATGACTTACAAAGATACATAACAGCTACAAGTGTATGCACTTCTTGCTTTATGCAAGCACTATATAGATTAAATCACTATACAGGATTTACCCTACTGTACTTTATCGACACGAATTGATAGGTGAAACAACAAACAGCCACCCACAAATAGTCTATAAACAAAGCATCAGGCTGTCTGAGTTCACATGAACACTTGTGTCTTGCCCTCTATATACCTGTTGCCATTGTCTGACCCTTGCATGTTTCTGACCACGTCTCTTAAATAAAAGCTTGCAGATGGATCCGCACGTCTCACGTCTTGTCAACCCCGTAACAGTAATCTACTAGAGTCAATAATTATAGAGTAAAACAGAATAAAATCAAATGTAACTGTAACAAATGTAATAATTTATTATCAGTCAGGTAAATATGTATTATGCCAATTACATAGCCAATTCAAAGATATCAAATCATATCAATACAAACATCAAACTCTCAAAGATAAATCTAAGAGTAGAAGATGCATACCTGACCTTAGAAAATACATAGTATGGAGTGTAGAGACACACACCACACTACGGGCTTTCTGGCTACAGAATCGCCCCGACCCTTTTGCTGCAATCCTTTAAATACAAAACCAAGATAAAACATCACATCAAACTCTCAAAGATAAATCTAAGAGTAGAAGATGCATACCTGACCTTAGAAAATACATAGTATGGAGTGTAGAGACACACACCACACTACGGGCTTTCTGGCTACAGAATCGCCCCGATCTTCTTGCAAGATTTCCTTAAGTACTCAGCCCAAGACAAAACATCCCCCGAAATGGAGACAGGAACTAACAATTGTATTGACCAAGCCGAATTAACACCTTTTGGGATAGATGGTAATTTGCATGGAATGACACACCTCTAAAGTAATCAAAATATCTCTTAACTCTTAAGCTCTGTATTATCTTTTAGTCTACTTTTGTAAGATTGAGACCATTGTACCACTCGCCCTGAGACTATTCAAATGATACCAAACATGACTGTAAATATTACTTGCATTCATGAAGAACATTATACTATTGACCATTCTGAGTGAACCAAGTGGATGGAGGATGGGTGAGGGGAAGGAAGGGGATGAAAAAGAACTGATGCATATGTGAGAGAGGCATTTTACCGCATTTTCTCTCAGTGGGATGTGGAGACAGATGTCTGTATGTTAATGCACTGTGTGTGTATTGTCCATCTCAGAAGATAAAAGTGTCTGAGGTTCTGTAAATCTTACACACAGAAAACCTCACCCTATTGAACAGGAAGGGTGGTTTGTTTACATGTTGTCTAAGTATTTCGTCATAGTCCATAAAATCTTTGCACACACAAGACAGCAATGTGGCCCACTACGGAGTTTGATATACAGCGTAGTAAAGCACAGAACAGCTTTATGTGGCAAAAAGGATTTGGGGATGAATGTCAATCATTGGTAGCTGCAAAGACTCTTTAAAAATAGCTATTTCATAGTTGAGTTTCTTTGTGTGACCTGTGGGGGATGTCTTAAAGGCATATTTGTGCCATTGAGTTACACATAAAATAATAACTGATTAAGATCGCATGCAGCTTAATTATTTGTCTAAACCGGCAACTTTATTTGATTAACGTTGACTTAAATTACATGATTTTATGCTTAAATCTGAGCCAGTATCTTAAATTAGATGAGAAATTAGTTTAAATTGAGACTTAAATCTAATTAAGACTTCTAGTTTGAAACACTTCAAAAAGCAGTGGTTATCTTTTCAGAGCATCTGTACATCTTATCTTGGGAGCGCAGTCAACTTCTCCAGCAGATATGTAAATCCTCTCTTCTTTGGCTAAACAAGACCTTCTTTAGGCAACATTATCTCACAGATACTACCAACGGGGGGATCTCAAGTCTGGTATCATGAAACAACACACATCAGAAACTCAGAGACCACATTTTTCTTTCTTGCTATGGCACCTTTTCTCCCTATTGATTCATATCAAATCCCTAAAGGAGCACAACAAAAACAACACAAAAGGCAAATACATGCTTTATGAACATAAAAAAGAGAGTTTTTAAATGGTGACTACCCAGTTTTTCTTACATATCAACTCTCCTATATAATGCTGTCTATACCTGTAATATGTGGCATCATTAAAAATGATACAAGTAAAATATAATCATAAAAGTCACCAGGGAAAACAAAATATACATTTAGATGGGCCAAGTGACGATCTGTGGGAGAAATCCTTTCCTCTCTACATTGTAAACTCTCGGTTATTTTAATCATATTCATAAATGAATGTTTACTTTTCCCCCTTGGGGTGTTTTTCATCATTAAATGTTCGGATGCTCATGAAATAAATATGATGGAATTAGGAGTCAACTCCGGAGAGAAAACGCTCAATCACCACCAACAGACTGAAAAAAACATCATAAATATATATATATATATATATATATATATAAACAAGTTCTATCTATCAAACCAATTGGAAGAGTTGATCTGAACTGACCGCTGAAATACATTTAAAATAAAACCTTCTCTGCATATGCATGAATAACACTTGAATAAGCTCTGTAGCAAAAATATATAGGTTTATATGTACTTGTTGAGACAACTGAAGCTAAATAACAAAATGTAATGTTGATTATATCACAATCCAATGCTGAGGAACAAAACCTTGCTTAAGTAAAAAATATTCAGACTTTATTGAAATATGTGTCAAGGTAATACATACTTTGCGAGTCCTCAAAATAAAATACTATGAATGAGATCATTAAAAGGTGATATGGAAAGGCTTTCATAAAACGTTCCCTTGGATGTGAATACAGCAAAGTGAGGGAATGATCAAATCCTTATTACAAAAACACCAAGGATTATCAATGCAAACAAGCTGAAGTTGTCCAATTTATAAAAGTGCTGCTGACGGAAAACTCTCTTGAGAAACTCTGATGAAATTGCAACACTGCCTGCCGCTGTGCTTGAGGTGATTACAAATAAAGCCCACATCCTCCACGATGAGGCTGTTTGGCCACTAGAGAACCTCCCTCTTTGATCCATCATCAGTTACAATTGTAATCATTCTCAGTGTCTTCTGTGCAATTTAAATGATTCTCCAGTTCCTGAACAACGGCTTCCCTTCCCATTTGATCGTTTCTCCTCTTTTCCATGATCAAATCCTCCAAACTCTGAAAGTCCAAAACGTGACTTTTCTTCTCTGACAGCTGCAGTTTCATCTTGTACGGCTGCTTCCCGATTCGTATCTCGCCTCCCGTTTTAAACTCGCGTTTGCCAAACCTGCACCAGGCAGCGAAGCATTCAGAGTTCTTCCAGCAAATGTCTCGCTCTTTCATCCCCACTTGCTCCATGGCATTCTGCACCACAACATCTGGGCTCAGCGCGCGAAACTTATACAGCTCGTTCACAATTCTGCCCCTTTTACCTTGACTGGCATCGAAAAGAAAGTCGCATTTAATCTCGTTTCTTTGCAAATGAACCACCTGTAGGTCGCCGACGTATACTGCCCACTGCGGGTATTGACCGATAGCCACAAACTCTACCAGGTCACCGGGTTTGCACTTATTCGCCAAGTTTTCGGACGACAGGGTTCCCACTTCACCGAACCTGCTATTCCTTTCGTATATGCACTCGTCGCGATAATATAACGCGCTTTCTAATTCATTGCGGCAGTCGTAGTGTTTAACATCTTCCTTTTCTGTCTGAACATCGATGTTCTCCTCTTGCTCGTCGTCGTCATCCGCGGAGAAAATATAAGACACGCCGATCCGTGGAGCGTCGTCCTCTAGGTCGAATCCATTAGGGTCAGTCGTGGGTAATTCATTGTAATTCAAATGGGTAAGTTTCTCCACTTGATTCCCCATAACAGAAACTCGTGTGAACAGTTTCGCGTCCCACCTGTATAGGTCGCGGAGGGGATATTTCAAAAACGCAACACGTAATCCGGCTTTGGAGCCCAGTTCGGGTCTAAGTCCATGTCTTCTTTTTATCGGCGAATTGCTGTTTGGAATAACCGCGTGATGTGCGTTTTGGCATATCATACAGCTATCCGAAGTGTTTGTCAGCCATCAGATAGTGCTGAGTTTCAGTCTGCGTTCTGAACAGGTGCGTCTCACCTGCTCACTTCCTGCTGTGAACCGCAGACAGGGGAAGCCCATCAGACACAGCGGTGAACCCACGGGGAGTCCTGCGGTAACGTCTCCGGGAAAGAAATGCACTTTGGATGAGTTATTTCCTCTCTTTCCAAGTAATGGACGGCGTCCACGGCTCTTTGAAGTTCTGGCAGAGGCAGCACAACAGCGCTCTGTGTGAAATAGTATTGCGCACGGTAATGTTTACACAAGGCACGGTCAGTTAAAGAGACAGTGCACATTTAGACTGGAAGCGGAATTATGTTGGTTCTTCAGCTCAGTGAGCTAAACTCCCTCAGAGTCTACAGTTTAAAGATTACCTTTCTGGCCAGATGCTAATATTTTATAGTCTATATGTGCCTGCATAAATTCGAGATGCCAGTGAATCGGTTTTTATTGACTTAGCATCTCATGTGACATATCTGAACTTTGAACTCATACATAGGCTATTGACATTTTCAGGCTTCATGATGACGCAATACTACAGAATGCAGATATACTACAAATCAGTTCTTTAAAATCTTTATTACACAGGGCCAGGGCCGCATTAAGACCGCACTGGGCCCCGGGGCTATGACTTACTGCAGGGCCCCCCCAGGCCCACCTTAAGAAAAAATGTGCCATTCACTGCGCCTAAAATGTATAATTGTAGAAAAAATATATACGTTGCATTGAACATTAAAGGATCAACAGATTTTGTGTGAAAATAAATCATTCAAGTTGTTTATTTTGTTTAAAAATCGTATAAAAGTATGAGGTGGCAAGAGGGGCCTTTTACCCCACACACGGGGTAAAATAACAGCGCTAATAAGTGGGGGGCGTGGTGGCTTTGGCGATCGACGCTTCAGTCAATCTACTCCACAGCCAATCACGGGCCCCCTCCTTGCTCGGGCCCCGGGGCTTCAGCCCCGCCTAGCCCAATGGTTAAAACGGCCCTGCACAGGGCGCGTGTGAATTATTTAGGCTAGAAGTATATGATTGTACAATTAAGGTTGGAAGGCCTCCAAATAAGGTCTAAAGTTCAGCTGTTACATTATATATTATTCAACCACATTTGGAAACATCTTTTAAGGTGTGGTCACATTAGCGAAACTTCTGCAAAATTGGTCTATATTGTAGTAATGTTTAAAATAAAGCTTCTCGAGGTCACACAGAAGTCGCTTTCGAACCAAGCAGCTTTTTGTCAGTGACGAATTTGTGTGACCAACATGAACCTATTACTAAATTTGCAAACATTTTGCCCTAATGTGAAATTCCAGATCGAGTAGATTCCTATTGAATTGACTGTATTTCATCCATGAAAAAATCAATGAACAGTGGTAAATGTGTCACCATTGGTACATAAAGAGACACTATAATTACAGCAACACCTTTTTGATTACTGCCTTTAATGGATGAGGCATCGAGAAAGTCTTTATTTATCACATTATTACAGACATTAAATCTATATTTTAAAACAATTAAATTAAAATCAATTAAATATATACTGAAAGCATTACATTTCTGACAGAAATTATTTTAGTTTTTATATCAAAATATGATAAATATTTTATTTTAATATTATTCCTATTGTTAGAATATTTTTCTGCTTCAGGGTAGATGCTATATTTAAAATTTCTTGAATGAAAAAAAATTTTTAAATCCCCATGACAAGAAAAATTGGACATGTTTCAGTTAACTGTACATTTATTTCTCACTGCCTGTTTTCATTCATGAAAAATGAAATATGTCATCTACCCTGAATAAAGTCCATTACTGTGTCCTTCACAATAAATACAGTGGCAGCATCTTCAGAGGCGTCTCCCAGGAGGTACTTCAGCTTGTGGTATCCAGTCTGGGGCACGTGTGTCTGTAAACCACTGCAGTGTTTAGTCCTGTGTTGTGTTGTTGTGGATTGCCAAACAGCTAGCCTCTGGCTGTCAGTCCATCACCTCCAGTGCAGGGGCTTCTCATGCCCAGAAGCGTGCCTCAGCTCTTAATTACCTAACGTAAAAGCTGGTCAGCGAGTCTGCCGTGTATTTGCTCACTCCGGTGCGGGGATATCTGGCTGTTGCCGTGAGGCATATCAGTTATAAACCGAGCGTCCGTCTCCCATCATCACATCAAAATAAATACAGCCTCCTGACAGTCTCTTCAGGCCAGACACACCTGCTTCCCTAATATTTAAATATTAATATAAAAACTCATTAGCATAATGTGCTTAATATCTTTTGAATGGTGTACACTTTTGTCAAGTCACCATATAGAGCAATTTATACTATAAGATTGTTTCAAATGCAAATTGTTTTCAAATATGAGACAAATCCAAATTCTGCTGTAAAGCAGCTCTAACAAGACAATAGTGTCATCATTCAGCTCCAGTCAGTTCAGAGTTGGTTCGTAAATATATAGGCTTTCAATGAACAGTTCTTAAAAGTACATTTTTTTAGCATAAAAACATTTCAATAATATTTTCAATAATACAATACATTTTAATATTTTGATTTTAATAAACATTGTTCAACTATAAAAAAAAATTATAAAAATGTTTGTGCGATTGAAAGGTTAGATGTTAAGGGTATCATGGAACCATCAATGCCAATGAAGAACCATTATGTTCCAAAAACATGTTCTTTAACATTTTTGTAAATAACGAATGATTCAGCAATCAGTCCTCTGAGTGACATTTTCACTGAAAGCTTATATGTTATAAAGATCCACACACCTCGCATCTCTATCCTGGTGAGTAAACAGAGGCATTTCAACTACCTGACATTTCAGTATTGGTCTGACACGACCATGGGAATTCCTCTGAGTGTTTGGACTCTACAAAGATCTTTTTTTTTTTTTTTAAGTTTCTCTCACCCCGAGAGCCTGTACTCTGGCCATTTTGAATGCCATGGCACCTTGTGTCAGTATGCCTGTGACACTGTATGAAGCTGTCTGCCACCGCTGAAGATATAAAGATAAACAGCGTTGCCTTCACACTGACTCGCTCAGTGAAAGAACTCATTATTTAGTTTCCTCAACTGTTAAAAAAAAAAAAGACGTCTGGAACACAACACCACCGAAAGTAAACAAAATAGGGTGAAAGTGCCACTCTAGTGGGAATGCATCTATGTTTTTGTTTCCAGTGGCTATGCACTGGTTACATCAGAAGAATTTTAAACAGCTAATAGTAAGCCCCTTAAGACCCCTCTTTCTCTCTCTAGGTTTCCAAAGGCAGCTGTGCTCCATCAAAGGTGTATTATTGCTGAAGGTACACGGCGTGTGTCTGTATGTGTCACACCGATGAAGCGTACCATGAAGCCTGGGCTGGCTGCAGAGAGAAGAATAAAAAGAAGGCTGAGAAGATTGTCAGGTGACCAAAAGAAAATGAAAATGACAGAGGTATGTCAATGGTATTGAATGCAACTCTGTTATTGCAGATTAGTTACTCTGATATTTGTTTTTCTTTAATGAATAAATAGCTGCAATGTCCCATAGTACATTGTGGGTTTGCTGAAAAAATCAGGAAACCACTTATAGGTAGTTTAGTGATCAATAATATTCAGTGCAGTGAAACATTCATGTTTCTATTCATAATAGCATGAGTAATGAGTATAAGGACTTATTTTATTCCAACAAGTTCAAGTATCATTTGAGCTGCACTGACCTCTAGAGGAACATGACATTTTAACCAAAATATTACTCTCATCTCACAAAAAAAACAAAAAAAAAACAGTAGGCTTAAAGTAGTGTTCTTAAGCCAGGGGTCTGCAAGGGGGTGGTAGGGAGTCCTTGAACATTGTATTTAGATATATATAAAAAAAAAAATATATATATATATATATATATATATATAAT